CAGGGGCTAGCTCTCAGCCCAATAGTTAACAAAATGTACACGCAGACCACTCAACCCAGGATGACACACCCACATATTCTATGGTAATACATCCCTTAGAGCAATAGACCACAGGGCACCAGAGAACCAACATTCACATGGAGGTAATACAAGACAGAAAGGATTGCATAAATATGAGGGGCACAGGGGGAGGGTTACTGGGCAGGGAGGGGAGGAGACTGGGTTAGGGTTTGACATGGTAAATGGGAAATAAAACTAAATATACATGTAACGTTGAGTGTAAAACAAGCTCTTAAAATAAAAAATAAAAAACAGTATTGGGGACTAAATGCTCCTTTAAGGTAGTTTTGAACTCTTGGGAAAGGGATTGTTGTTGTTGTTGTTATGTGCCATCGAGTCGGACCCAACTTATAGCAACCCCTCCTTGGGTTTCTGAGGCAGTATCACTACGGAAGTAGATTGCCCCATCTTCCTTCCGAGGAGTGGCTGGTGGGTTTGAACCGTCAGCCTTCTGGTTAGCAGTCAAGTGCCTTAGCCACTATGCTACCAGAGCCTCTTTTAACATGTCAGTTTCCTCCTTAATTAGAAGCTATGTGCAGTTATAGACATGCTGACATCAGTGTGGACTCCTCAGGTGAAATTAAGACACATGACCTGTACTGCTCATACAAGACTCTTCCTGGTGCAAAAGGGACCCTCTTCAGATAATGGTCTCATGTCAGAAAAACACCACACCCAACATATGTCCCAGTGATATCTAATTTTCAGAAAAGACAAGTCCCATGAGAAGTAGGGTAGGTTAGGGCAGGGCAGGGTAACAAGAAACAGAGAAGAACTATTCAGATGCCTGCATTCCACCTTGAGTATTATGCAATAAACTGGAGAATATCTGCTCTTGGGGACATACAGTTCATTCTTGCATGTTTTTCACTGACAAGACAATTAAAACCTGACATTCGGACTCTCCTCATTAAACTATTGAATGGAGTTCTTATTGTCACAAGCTTGTGTGAGCTGTACCTTCTGATTTCAGTCACACACTAGTACAGTTTCATTGGCCAAGCCTGGATTATTGAGAAATCTGTGACCTTTATGTCAGAACTCACTCTAATGCCAATCAATAGGGTCAGGACCAGAACTGAGTGAACCTCAGCTTCTAGGGAGGAAGAGCATTACAGTGTCCTCACCAAACAAATAACCACAATCTGGAGAAGTATATAAGAAAATACGCACAAAATACCTTACAATATATTTTTTGACAAAAGGGTGTATGTGTCAGCTTTTCTCTATCTTTATTTTGGTGCTATTAAGATGTCTGTTCTTTATTTAAAGACTGTCCTTGGTACTTAGTTAATACTATAAATTCCACATTGTGAAATAAGTTAAACAATAATAAGTTAAAAATAAGTAGTGACTTGCTTTTCCATAAAAGATAATGAATTTAAGTATTTTTCTCCTAAGTAAATGGCTGAAATATAAGTTGGCAGTCAACACAATTAGACTGAACAATTTTGAGGGCCATATAGTTAGTAAACTATAGCCACTCCTCAGAAGGAAGATTGGGCAATCTACTTCCGTAGTGATACTGCCTCGGAAACCCAAGGAGGGGTCGCTATGAGTCGGGGCCGACTCAACGGCACACAACAACAACAACATAGTTAGTAAAAGGAGCTCTCGTGGCATAGTGGATAGGCGTTTGGCTGCTAACCAGAAGGTCAGCAGTTGAAACCCACCAGCCACTCTGTGGAACCAAGATAGGTCGATCTACTTCTATAAAGATTTATAGCCTTGGAAACCCAATGGGGGTTGCTATGAGTTATGAGTATAGTTAATAAGAACTTTCCATCTTCAAAACAAAGTATTAAGTCTTTAAATGTGTTTCCCTTTCAGCCATTCACTCAATCCATCAACAAGTATTTTATCAAAGTCTACTCTATCCCAAGGAGCCCTAGTGCAGTGGTTAAGCACTTGGCTGCTAACAGAAATGTCAGGGGTCAAATCCACCAGCTGCTCTGCAGGAAAAAGATGTGGCAGTCTGCTTTGGTAAAGATCACAGCCTTGGAACCCAATGGGGCAGCTCTACTCTGTTCTATAAGGTCAGTATGAGTCAAAATGTACTTCGTAGCAAAAGGTTTTTTTTGGTTAGTTTCTCTGTTAAAACCTTTTTTGTTTGGCCCTTATCTGTGCTGTTTGCAAACATTTATGGAATATGTTGTTTTAGGCAAAAAAAAAAAAAAAAGTTTTCTGTGCTGTCCTTTCAAATAAAGACAGAATGAAATAATCTAGCTCTGGTAGCATAGTGCCTAAGGCATTTGACTGCTAACCAGTTTGCTGGTGGTTCAAACCCACCAGCCACTCCTCGGAAGGAAGGTTGGGCAATCTACTTCCATAGTGATACTGCCTCGGAAATCCAATGAGGGGTTGCTATGAATTGTATCCAATTCTACAACAGTGAGTTGGGAAACCTATAGCTAAATAGTTGGGTGACTTTGAATAAGCCTTTACCTTTCCTCTGCTTCATTGTTTTTTATCTACAGAACAGAAATTAAGCCCGGTGATCTCTAGTTTTCAAAATAATTTATGATGCAAGAGTATAAGGAGCTCTGGTGGTGCAGCGCCTAAGGCATGTGACTGCTAACCAGAAGGTTGGTGGTTCAAACCTACCAGCTGCTCTGCGGAAGGAAGATGGGACAATCTACTTCCGTAAAGATTTTCTGCCTTGGAAACCCAATGGTGGTTGCTATGAGTTGGAATCAACTCAATGGCAGTGAGTTTGGTTTTGGTTTTCAGCCCATATGAGCAGCCGTAGTGGTGTAGTGGACAGGGCATTTGGCTAACCAGAAGGTCTGTAGTTCAAACCCATCAGCTGCTCTGGGGGAGGAAGATGGGGCAATCTACTTCCAAAAATATTTATAGCTTTGGAAACCCAATGGTGATCACTATGAGTCAGGATTGACTGCATAGCTGTGGGTTTGGTTTAGTTTGGGTTTTCTGCCCATATATTTAACTCCAAAATTCATCAGTTTGAGAAGAGCAGCCCAAAGGAAGGCAAGATCTTTGGTGCAAGTCCCACATTCACTACTAGATGTATAATTACAGAACAGGGCAAAACCTCACTTTCAATTTGTTAAATGGAATGATAACTCTTATGTCCATTTCTCAGGGATGCTTTTGATGATTGAATAAGATAAGTCACACGAATGTGCTCTGTAAACTGTACGTTGTTGTTGTTAGTTGTAATTGAGTCATTCCCACTTATGACCACCCCATCTTTGCAGAATAGAACTGCTTCCTATGGTTTTCAAGGCTGTGACCTTTGGCTGTGACCTGTCTTCTGAGGGCCTCTGGGTGGTTTCTAACTGCCAACCTTTGGGCTAATAGTTATACCAGAAAAATCAGAAGTGCAGTTATTAAAATAGATACATATTTAAAAGAGGAACCCTTGTCACACAATGGTTAGTGCTCTGCTGCTATCCAAAAAACATTCTCAGAACCCACCAACTGCTCCCCAGGAGAAAGATGTGGCAGTTTACTTTCTTAAAGATTACAGCCTTGGAAACTCTATGGGGCGGTTCTAGTCAGTCCTATAGGATTTCTAGGAGTCAGAATCTACTTGATGGCAATGGTTTTGCTATTTGAAACATTTTAAACACTATCACTCCCAACCAAGTAAGAGGCTGAGTCCCTGTTCTTTATATTTAGGCAACTGTGACTTGTTGCTTGTGCTGGGTAAATGGTAGATTGTATTACTGGAACATGTTCAGTGTGAAAATGGTGAAAACTGGAGAGTTTTGACATTTCCAAACCCCCCCAAAAAAAACAAACTCACTGCCACAGACTGGATTCTGACTCATAGCAATCCCCATTGGGTTTCCAAGGCTGTAAGTGTTTACAGAAGACTGTCCCATCTTTCTTCCGAGGAGTGGCTGGTTGGTTGGAACTACCAACTTTTTGGTTAGCAGCCAAATGTCTTAACCACTATACCACCAGAGCTCCTTTTTGGTGTCTCCAAGAAGTGTCTATTTTTGAATGCCTACAAGAAAAAAATGGGATATACTGAAAAGTTAAAAAAAAAAAAAAATGGAAAGAAAAGAATTGGGAAGAAGTATATTCAGGCACAGGAGGAAGGTGAAGACAAGGCAAAGTTAGGAAAATAAAAAGGCAAGTTAAAAAGAAATAACAGGGATAGGGAGGGCAAGTGGACAAAGGTAGGGCAGGGACAAGAGCCAGTTAGACTTGGGGCGGGAGTGGGTGGCGAATGAGTGGCTAGTCCAGTGACTTGCCAAGCAGGCACCAGGAGGAGGAGGGGAAGAGAAGGGAGGGGCTTGGCGAAGGGCAAAGGCAGGGCAAGACATAAAAGGGAGATGACCCTAGCTCATTGATGCCACCATTGTCCTCCGAAGCCCAGGGAAAAGAGCTCCAACGAGGGATAACGACAGAGAAGGCCAGGATGATGAAGCCGGCCCTGGAATCGAGAGGCAGGACCACTGACGGAGAGGGGAGACCCCTCGGAGCGCCTGGCAGCCCCGCCACCATGTGCGAACTGTACTGTAAGCAGGACACCCTGGCGCTGAGGAAGAAACATATCGGGTAAGGCTTTTACAGGAAGAAGCTTAGAGAAGGGATTAAACAAGTGCAAAGAATTGGAGGGGTGGTGAGGGAATTGCCAAAGTGGGGCAGGCAGGAGCGCTCAAGGGACTAGGCTCGCGGAGGCTCTGCGAAGGAGGCTGTCTGCTGGGTGCAAGAAAGCGACCGGCTACTGGCCGCCCGCGCCTGCGCACGAACGCCGCCACCCGGTCGCCCGCCTTCTCTGCTTGCGGGGGCGCGCCTTTGATGACCCCGGCCGCCTAGACTGTGAACTCCGCGCGCTCTGCTAGTGCTGCAGCTGTGGGCGGCTGGCTGCTACTTGGAGGCCGCGGGGCTTCCAGAAACATGACTCCCAGCCCTGCTTTAGCGCGGTCCGTAAGCTCTGCAGCTACGAATAATTGGGGTCTGCCGGCCTATTGGAGGAGTTAATCGAAGAGGGTTAATCGCCCTACAGGAAAGTACTATTCCAGGGCTGGGTGCCAGGAGGAAGATGGGTAACTCCTCCCTTTCTCAACTTGAAAAGTTTTGGAAAACTATGAACCCAGAAATATTTTTTCATTATGGCTGTGAAAACAGACTGTTAATGACAAATTTTATTTAAAGTGAATTTTTCTTCTTGCATGCTTGGTTAGGGGGTAAAAGTTTAACCCAACCAGAGAGAAAACTTTGAAACTACCTTCAGTTAGGGGTACCAGGAGTTCACTTAGTAGGTGCCCCCTTCTAATTGTAGTAGTAGTAGTAGATGTCTCCCTAGCTATGCCCTCACTCAATTTAAACATGGAATGTTCTCTCCAATTGGCTTTTGTTTTGCCTGTGTTAACTACTTGGTAATATAATGGCAAGCAGTCAGGACTGAATGTAAAGTTCAGACCTGGACTCTGGTCTTAGCTCGGTGTTTTATTACCTGATAATATAATGGTGAGCGTACGGGACTGAATATAAAGTTCAGACCAGGGCTCTGGTCTTAGGTTAGTGTTTTATTACCTGTGTGACCGCTGTCAAATTAATTTCCTCATCTATAAAGTAGGAATATCATCCTTCTTCACAGGAGCGAGCAAATGAGAAGATTAACAAGTGCATTAGTGCTTTGTAATGGGTTTTTAAAAAGGTACGTAAATATAGATGATGATTGGGACCATTAACCCGCTGCCATCGTTGGAGCCGACTCAGTGGGACCCCTCCTTGGGTTTCTGAGGCGGCATCTCTACGGAAGTAGATTGCTCAGCCTTCCTCAGGAGTGGCTGATGGGATTGAACCACCAGCCTTCTGGTTAGCAGTCAAATGTCTTAAGCACTACTCCATCAGGGGCAACCCTTAACTGCTGTGAAATCAATTGTCTACAATATTTACACGTCAGTAACTAAAGAGCTGCAGCCAGACGAGGACAAGCATGAGAGAGGACCAGTTGTTGTTGTTGTTATGTGCTGTCGAGTCGGCCCCCACTCATAGCGACCCTTCCTTGGGTTTCCGAGGCAGTATCACTACGGAAGTAGGATTGCCCAACCTTCCTTCCGAGGAGTGGCTGGTGGGTTTGAACCGCTAGCCTTCTGGTTAGCAGTCAAGTGCTTTTAGCCACTATGCTACCAGAGCTCCTGAGAGAGGACCAGAGGACACAAGAAAGAAAAGAACCAGTACTCTTCAGGGAAAAGCTGGGCGATTTGTCGTATGGATATTCCTGACCTCAAACCAGACGTTGCTGGGTGGTTTAGGAAACGAGAGTTAGATCACTTTCAACCAACCGTATGGGTCAAAATGGTCAAATTTCTCCCCGCGTATGCTTTCACGGCATACGAGATGGATTGACACGTCTGCGACAGTGAGCTCAAGAATAGCAAGGATCATGGAGCTGGTACGGGATCAGGCGGTGTTTCGTTCTGCTGTGCATGGGGTCGCTATGAGTCGGAAATGACTCCACAGCACCTAACGACAACAACATGCTTTCATGGCAGTGAGTTTATGCCTTCACTAGAAGCCCTGGTGGTGCAGTGGTTAAATGTAGGCTGGTAAAAGGCAGTTTGAACCCAGCAGCTGCTCCGCGGAAGGAAGATGTGGCAGTTTGCTTCTGTAAAGACGGGAGCCTTGGTAACCTTCACAAGCAGTTCTACTCTGTCCTATGGGGTCACTAACAGTTGTAATCAACTGAATGGCAACCTTTTCTTTTCTTTTTTTTTTTTTTAGTGTCTTCACAGCCTTCTAATCATCTCTCCTTTCTGTTAGTTTTCAATTATATATAGTTAGATTCCAGGGAAAACCTTATCATTTCTGACATGAACAGAACAAATTCTGTGAAACGGAAAATGTAGCCATGAATTGAGAGCAGAATTTTACTAGAAATCTGAAGGGCAAGGTGGAAAGTGTTTTAACAAGGCAAGGGGAAGTCTGCAGTTTTCAACCCACTTTCATAAGAAAGGTTTTCCGTAGATTTTAACTTATATGTATAAACTAACAGCTGAACCAATAAAAAAATTTTCATTAAGTATGATTTTCATTTTAGCTAGTGACACTTAACATCAGCATCAATATATAACACAATTTATTTTGGGCAGTTTTAAATTTTAAGGTCACTTATTGGTCACAAAAATAATACTTTCTAAATAGTTGCATGTCAATTTTTTATATAAATTTATAAATACTCCCCAAAATACCTCCAATATATGTGGTATTTTTACACATGCAGAATCACCAAAGTAAAAATGCATACTCAGTTGTAGTTCTTAAATGCCCATAGAAACAATACCAGAAACCCTTATGCTATTTCTACATTGTTAAAATTGAACATCATATGTTCATCCAAATAACCGAAAATATGCATGATGTTTTATTGAGGTCAAAAGAGTGGAAGAAGGGTTTAGAAGAATCATTTCATTGTTTGAGAACAGAAACTCCAATCAATATAGGACAAGAACCATTCAAAATACACAGAATAGGGCCCCTATAAAATCCCCTTTGTTTATTTAACTCTAAGTTATTTGTGCTTAGCTTGTAGACTTATTCATTTCTTTATAAATTAGGCTTTTAGAGTTACTCATTTCTTTATATACTAGATTACAGGGGTGGGGTATAAAGAAAAAAAATAAAACACTAGCAAGGACAGGGCATGAGACACCTTGGTTTCAAATTTTTATTTTCTCACTTGCTGACTATAACCTAGAGCAAGTTTTCTGTACCTTGACTTCTTCACCTACGAAACTGAGAATGTTAATAACCCCCATTTCATAGGATTGTTGGAAGGATTAAGTGAGATATTTGTAAAATGGGTTAACACAGTTCCTGGCACATAGTATAACAAACAACAAACAAAAACACTTTTTTTTTCCTTGATACAAGGTTTCCCACAGGAAAATTAGTTACTTATGTGTGTGTTTAGACCTGCCACAGAGTTGATTTGTGTGCGTCTAAGTAGTGCTGTCAAATCATGGCAAATATAACAGACCAAGCATAAGAAATATGAACAGTGTTATGAATGGAACATTAAGGTGAAATGTTCCAGGCTGATATGAAATGAAAAAAAAAAAAAAAAAAAAAAGTGCACATCACCCGGGTTGTTTTATCCCTTTCCTTTATGTAATTGTAATTTTCCACTGATAGTGACCTTCATTGAGAAGGAAAAGTACTGAGCAGACCTACTGGATCAAAATGTTTCCTTTCATTATTTCTAGGCCATCATGTAAAGTTTTCTTTGCTGAGGATCCCATCAAAATAGTACGAGCCCAGAGGCAGTACATGTTTGACGAGAAAGGCGATCAGTACTTGGACTGCATCAGCAATGTTGCCCATGGTAAATGTCCTGTCCCTGCTGTGCTTAGAAGGATATCTTTATGGGATAAGGCAGACTTGGGACACTTAATATGTGTCCCAGAAATGTCAGTGGTTGCAATTTCTTTGCTGTACGGTCTAGTCACCATAGCAGGGAAAATTTGCAGCAAAAACTGTAGAGGGAAAGAAATTCAATTTTTTTTCTTTCTTTCTTTTTTTTTTTTTAATGCATCAGAATTCCCCTCATTTCCCAGGCACTTAGAGTTGTAACATATTTCTTTGACTTTTGTCTCCTAAATTTTAGTGGGACACTGTCACCCGGAAGTGGTCAAAGCTGCCTTGAAACAGATGAAACTGCTAAATACAAACTCTCGGTTCCTCCACGACAGCCTTGTTGAGTATGCCAAGCGCCTTTCAGCAACCCTGCCAGAGAAACTCTCTGTTTGCTATTTTACAAATTCAGGGTATGTTTCTGGGTTTCCCACCCATCGCCATTCTCAGAATTCTCATTTTCTTTTCTTTCACACATAGCTTTCCTTTTGATTCCTTACACAGATGTCTACAAAGGTTTGAGATTTTTGTCATTTATTAAGTGATCACATATCAGGGACCTGATCTTTCTGGTTCATTCACTTTACTAAGGAGCTCTGGTGGTGTAGTGCCTAAGGCAGTTGACTGCTAACCAGAAGGCTGGTGGTTCAAACCCACCAGCCACTCCTCAGAAGAAGGATTGGGGAATCTACTTCTGTAGAGATACTAACTTGGAAACCCGAGGAGGGGTCACTTTGAGTCAGATGCATCCTGATGGCAGTGAGTTTGGTTTTTTTTTTTTTTTTTTTTGGTGCCACTTTACTAGGTGAGCCCATTGTGGACAGGACACTAGACAGTATGTTTCCAGACTTGAGCAAGCCTATAACAACAATCTGATGATGATTAACCAGTGCATGCCACCCAACTTTTCATTACCATGGTTTACTTGGTGGAAGACAGAGAAAGCATACCCTTAACTATCCTTGGAGGATAGACACTTAGGTAGTAACCATGGCAAAAAATGTCCAGGTGTGGTGTAAGACTTGGACATTGATGTAAGAAAACTTAACTGGTCAAAAGATTCTTAATTCTTCGGGCAATAGGGTTGAGTAGCTAAAGATTCAGTGCGCCCAAATTGTTCTTTCAAAGTATGAGATAGTAATTATAGCAAAGAAAGAACCCTACTAAACAAGCAATACCCCCCAAAAAAACCTGAACCTACTGCCATTGAGTCAGATCTGACTCACAGTGACCCTTCCTTGGGCTTCCGAGGTGGTATCACTACAGAAATAGATTGCCCAACCGTCCTTCTGAGGAGGGGCTGGTGGGTTTGAACCGCCAGCCTTCTGGTTAGCAGTCAAATGCTTTAGGCACTATGTCACCAGAGCTCCTAAACAAGCTATTGTTGTTGTTGTGTTCTTATGTGCCGTCGAGTCGGATCTGACTCATAGCGACCCCTCCTTGGGTTTCCGAGGCAGTATCACTACGGAAGTAGATTGCCCCATCTTCCTTCTGAGGAATGGCTGGTGGGTTTGAACCGCCAGCCTTCTGGTTAGCAGTCAAGTGCCTTAGGCACTATGCTACCGGAGCTTTGTAAAATTATCTATTTATTTGTTTTCTTAGACAACTGAGCATATCTACCCACCCCCCACCCACCCCCCAAAAAAAGAAGGAGGAAATTCAAGTGAATAGATATGTTCCAACTTTTATGTTCTGTAAATCAAATTATTATACATCCATTCTATGGAATATTATGCAGACATTAAAAAGTATGTTTTTGAAAATACATACCTAATGATATGAAAAATTTGCAATGCAATATTATATTGGGAGAGAAAGCTATGTATAGAGTATAACTGCATATTTTAAAAATTATATTACATATATTAAAATATGAGCTCTAGTGGCATAGTGGGCGCTCTGGTGGCACAGTACCTAAGACATTTGACTGCTAATCAGAAGGCTGATGGTTCAAACCCACCAGCCACTCCTCAGAAGGAAGATTGGGCAATCTACTTCTGTAGTGATACCACCTCAGAAACCCAAGTAGAGGTCACTATAAGTAAGATTTGACTCTACCGCAGTGAGTTTAGTTTTGGTTTTGGTGGATAGTGCCTAAGGCATTTGACTACTAAGCAGAAGGTTGGCGGTTCAAACCCACCAGCCATTCCTCAGAAGGAGGATCCACTTCTGTAAAGATTTACCATCTCAGAAACCCAAAGGAGGTCACTATGAGTCAGAAGCAACTCCATGACAGTGAGTTTGGTTTTGGGTTTTTATATTAAGATTGACTATTAGAAATCCTGTAAATATTTGATTATATGTAATATGCTCTTCTCTTTTCAATGAGCTGTTTTAAAAACAAATTTATAACCAGAAGATTATTCTCTTTTTACTTGGTAAAGAACTAGAATCTAACCTATTATACTCTTGCCTTCAATAAATGAAATCATTTTATTATATCACAATATTTGACTTTTATTTCTAAAGAATCCTATACAATCAAAGAAGGATTAGCCCCAAACAGCACTGCCCCTGAAAACTGTAGGTGACAAAACATTGACTAGTAAAAAGAATATGATCATCAGAGACACACAGGCTTAACTCTGAAGCCTCACTCTACCTATTATTAGCTTGGAGACCTTATTCTACTCATTTAACCTGAGACTATTTCCTCATCCATGACAAGAAAGTGGAAATATTTGCCTTGCACAGTTATTATAAGAATAAAACAAATAAAACACTCAGCATAATTTCTGCATAAATTCCACAAATACATATATATATAATACATATGTATGTAATATATATATAATATACATATTATAATACATATTCTATATTCCATATTATATATATATATATATATATATATATATATATATATACACACTAATGTCTGGGCAGTTTATTTAGACTCTCTGAACCCAACAGGAAAATTATCATCTTCATTTTATTCATAAGGAAACTAACCAGACATTGGATCAATGCAACATAGTTTGGTAGCCAAGCTGATGTGCCTTCCTTTCTACTCACTGAGATCAGGACTACAAGCTTCTTATTGCTCTCAAAGTTAGTCACCTACTGATGTGGCTGGACTGAACTAAAGTTTGAAGTGGACAGTTTATCATTAATTCTTACTGGGTACAGATGCTTCTGTACATCTCATTCTGTATTAAAAAAAAAATCTGAGGAAATTACTAGAAAGGTGAACTGAGATTGCAGCCTGGGGGGAGATTGAAGGAGGGAGAGAACGCTGCAACTTAATTACTACATATTCCTGAGTAATTAGAATCTTACAAATTTTATAATTAACACTTTGAAATATTTTTAAAAGAGTTTATGTCACATTATCTTCTCTCTAATGTGCTATCTTAATAGATCTGAAGCCAATGACTTAGCCTTGCGCCTGGCTCGACAGTACAGAGGCCACCAAGATGTGATCACTCTTGACCAGTAAGTCTTGGATGCAAGATTTCTAAGCAAGAGCTCTTTTGAAGACAAAATTGTATTGATACCACTCACACTAATACAATAAGTGCATATGGATGAAGGTGGATAAATGACAAAATGATTTTTATTATTTATCAAAGTATCAAGGCCAGCTTAAGCTCAGCTCACTGCTGTGGAGTTGTATCCAATTCATATCAACCCCTCATTGGCTTCTGAGGTGGTATCACTATGGAAGTACATTGCCCAACCTTCCTTCCGAGGAGTGGCTGGTGGGTTTGAACCACCAGCCTTCTGGTTAGCAGTCAAATGCATTAGGCACTACACCAGAGCTTAAGCTCAGAGGTTATACAATTCCTTCTAAGAACCTGCAAAAGGGTGCGACTCTACTGACTGCCATAGTTGTGGGCTGATGAGCTTCATATGAATAAGGGCTTACATTTCACACATTAAATATTTCTTGAACTACTATGTGTCATGAATCAGTATTTTTCAAAATGAAAATACAATTCATTTCTTAATAATCTAAGCATTCACTACACTATTGTGACTATCCAATGTGATTAATTTGAAAGACAATAATTAAGAACAAATTTTAAAGAAAACAGTCAAGTAAAATTTTGTACTTTTTCATTTGTTTCTGACTATTAACAGTCACTACTTAATTTTCTATTGCAAATACGTATCCTTTACACTTTATTTATTTTATTCAGTCTCTTAGGATTTAGGATTTAGTCAATGAATGCAGCTTTCCTTATATTAAAAAAGTTAAAAAAATAAAACAATGAATTCGACAGCTTCAGTCTTTCCAAACTCACTGCCGTGGAGTCAATTCAACTCATTGTGACCCCTCCTTGGGTTTCCGACGGGGTATCTCTATGGAAGTAGATTGCCCAATCTTCCTTCCTTGGAGTGGCTGGTAGGTTCAAACCTCCAGCCTTCTGGTTAGCAACCAAATGCCTTAGGCACTACACCACCAGAGCTCCCTACTAGGGATATAACACAAACACAAACGCACCACTACCTTAGAGACGGATCATAGCGACCCCTCCTTGGATTTCCGAGGCGGTATCACTATGGAATTAGATTGCCCAACCTTCCTTCTGAGGAGTGGCTGGTGGGTTTGAACCACCAGCATTCTGGTTAGCAATCAAATGCCTTAGGCACTACACCACCAGAATTCCTACACTAGGAATGTAGGGATGTAGTCTTTTCATATTCTTTTTCTCCCCTGACTTCACTCCACCTCACTAACCTTAGATGCAGAGAGTTGAATTAAACATGTGCCTCAGTTCTTGACCTTATAGGCTCCTCTCATTTTATGTTAGTTGATGTCTTAGTTTCCTACAGCTCCTGTAACAAATTTAGCAGCTTAAAATAACAGAAATTTATTTCTTTATCATTCTATAGGGGTGAGTTTGAAATGAGTCTCACTATGCTAAAACCAAGGTGTCAGCAGGGCTGCATTCCTTTAGGAGGCTCTAAAGGAGCGTCCATTCCTCACATGTTCCGGCTTCTAGAGGCTGCCTACGTTCCTTTGCTCATGTCCCCCTTCTGTCCTCAAAACTAGCAATCATATCATTCTGAACTTTGCTTTCATCTTCACATCTCCTGTGACCCCAACCCCTGCTGCCTCTCTCTTTTACTTCAAGAACTCTTGTGATGGTATTAGATCCCTGGGTAGTTCAAACAGCTTGCACTGCACTACTGGCGTAAAGGTTGGTGGTTTGAACCTATCCAGCAGCTCCATGGAGAAAGATTTGGCTATCTGCTTCCATAAAGATTATAGCTCACTCACTGCTGTGGAATCGGATCTGACTCATCGCCACCCCTCCTTGGGTTTCCAAGGCAGTATCTCTATGGAAGTAGATTGCCCAACCTTCCTTCCAAGGAGGAGCTGGTAGGTTTGAACTGCTGCCTTCTGGTTAGCAGTCAAGTGCCTTAGGCACTATGCCACCAGATTATAGCTAGGGAAGGATTATCCAATAAACAAAGTAAGCACAGGCTTACTTGTGCTTACTTATTAATCTGTAGTGAATATTTCACAACTTTTTTTTCCCACCACTTCAAAGATTCTGCTTCTAGGTATGGCTGGCATCTGTGACCCAAACCCACAGCACCTTCCTACAGAATCAAAGTCTCTTAAATGTACAAACTCTTTTAGGGTTAAAGTACTCACTAAACAAGGTAAGCATGGGTTAACTTCTGTTTATTTACTAATCTACCTGCAAAGTAGCAAGTAAGCCCATGCTTACCTTGCTTATTGGATGTCTGTCCCTGCATGGGATCGTGAGCTGGAATCAACTCAAGGGCAACAGATTTGGTTTGGTTTTTGGTGATTCCATTGGGCCCACCTGGGTAAGGAGTTCTGGTGGTATAGTGCCTAAGGCATTTGACTGCTGACCAGAGGCTGGTGGTTCAAACCCACCAGCCATTCCTCAGAAGGAAGGTCAGGCAATCTACTCCCATGGTGATACTGCCTTGGAAACCCAAGAAGGTGTTGTTATGAGTCAGATCCAACTCCACGGCAGTGCGTTTGGTTTGATTTTTATGGATGTTTCACAGATTTTCTTAGGTATAATCCAGAAACAGGATTACTAGGCCATGTTGTTGTTGTTGCTAGGTGCCACTGAGTCAGCTCTGACTCATAGCAACCCTGTGTACAACAGAATAAAACACTGCCCAGTTCCTGTGCCATTTTCACAATCCTTGCTATACCTGAGCCCATCATTGCAACTACTGTGTCAATCCATCTC